AGCTTGAGAACGTTTTGAGAAAGGTGCCTTTGGGATACACACTTCATATGAGCCTTCACATCTGAAAAGTAGGTACGACCATATGGTCTTATACGTCCCATGTAATAACGCAAACAATAACTCTCTTTAGGTAGGCAGTGATTACCAGATGTCCATGAAGGTTTCAGGGAAGCTGAATTTTCCTCAGCTGTTCGAGCCCTCACCCCAGACAACGAAGCAGAAAGCAAACCAGCATCATGAAAGACGATGTGTAAAAAATCACCAGATCAACTGTGAGACAAATATTGTCGCCTTAAGTCTCTTTAACACGTCATCTATATTTCAGCGAGGGAGCAAGCCGCTGCTGCTCCGAGTACGGCGCCGGGGGGCCAGAAAACTTCTACATGGATGACGTCGACTGCACCGGCTCCGAGAGCTACCTGATGGCATGCAGCCACAGCAGCAGCGATAACTGCGGGAGGGATGAAGTGGCAGGCGTGGACTGCCACGCTGGCCGTCATTACCGCTGAACATGCGGATCGAGTCTGCGGACCGACGGCGGACGGGGCGGGCCGACGAGAGGTCGGCGGCTGCAGGCAGTGTGCTGCCATGTGCGATGTAATTAAGCCTACCGATGCTACAAGACAGAACCTGTGTCTCAGTACCCATGCGAATGTGGCAAAGAGACGGACGCATTTAAGCGATGCTTCTTCACCACCGTCTACACAATAGTGCATGCTCGAATGCAAGTACAAGTACAAGTACATCCTCGCGGGCAGAACAATCCCTTGCTTCCCAAGTTTGTGCCACTGGGCTGGATAACCAGCTTTGCGGAAGAATGCGCTTGAGCCTCGGCAGACGAGAACCAGCATTTCGAAGACCGCAAAATTTGGATAATTAGCAACGTACTAAATTCGGCCGTCTGTGAGGATACTATCGCTTTATCACGTGTTGTAACACAAATTTGCCCAAGGTCACGTTAGGTCACTGAAACATACCTTCATCTTTGGAGGTTTCTAAGGCCAATTTTACAAGCCAATGCTTTTTTGTTTGCTGGCAGCAATAAGGCAAAAAATTATGCGTGACTTCACAATCAGTATAAAATGTTCCTCTCCACGTGCTCAGGCCGCTTTGCAAAGGCAAATACACTTTCAAGGTCAAACGAGACATCGTCAGCAGCCGGAGCCGTCTGGTCAGAATATTACATTAGCTGTAAGACTCAACTGTAACTAAATTAATACTCATCAGATGTCGGACAATGGGAGCTTCACCTGATGCCAAATGTGGGCAAAAAGCTCACAGTGACACAAAAGCTTGCTTACCCCCGCATTCTTGCTCATGCATCTCTTTTTATCGCAAAGGTATTTCAAGGTGACTCAGATGAAGGAAATGGACAAACACTAACAACCTCCCAACACAGTGTCACTCGTTGAGTACGGCTTTTCCACATATCCCGGGGCTGCGTAGAGGCATGGGCCAAGATCTCGATGCCCAGTTTTAGTGACTTGATTGGTCTCATTTCATGATATCTTCTTCCTAAGTACCAGTTAACGCATCACTGGCGCTCCATTTGTCTCCCAACCAAGTAAAGGTGAGATTATGAGCTTAGCAACCGGGGGGGGGGGGGGGGGGGCAGGGGGGCCATGGCCCCTCCACTTTTCAAAGTGGGGGGCAGCAATGTTAACTGCCCCCCCCCCCCACACTTTTCATATTAAGGCTGCATTTGGCTTACTTTTGCACTACAATAAACGCGCACATCGATTTGTCTACTTCGCCAGCCATCTCGCTTAAGATACGTCATCTTTTTCGTTTGCTCATTGGCCATCTCTCAGTGTTACAGGGACAAGGCCCACGCCGCACGGCCTGGAGACTGCAACGCCGGCCGTCGAGGCTGTTGTTGCTATGACTTGCAAGCGTGCATGTTCAAGACCATATTACGTAGTTTTCTTATCAGTTATCAGTTCTGACAGGATCTTGAGCAGTTTAAGACGAACATGGGTTAGCCATGTTAATGCAAATTAGGAACCCCATTCCATTTGCAATCTACGGTCAGGGAGAACTCAATATCTCCGAAGAACACAGAAAAACACGGAGCTGGAATCTATGTGGCAATTACTGGACTTCTTGCGGTGATCAAGGATGTTGTTGCGTCAATGAGGGTTCCTGTACTATGGCCTCTGGATCGACCAGGAGATCCCGCTCCATGTCACCGGAATGATAGCCAGAAGACACTTTGCGATGGGACGGAATGGCCCTTCAGAAACGGTGATATACCCCTGGTGTTCTACTTCCCTTGCCCGGAAGGAAGTAAGGAGTCTCATTATTGTTGAGTAGAGTGGGGGTCTCATTATTGTTGAATAGGGTAGGTCGAAATGAGCTTAAAAATGAGCAGGGTCATGCCATGTTTGCCTGATAACGTTCATTTTTTTCAGAGTGTATTGCTGAAACAAATTATATCAAAAGGCCTGAACATGCCAATCCGCATCCTCGAGGGCAAGGATAAGGATGGTCTGGGCTGCAACTTCCGTAAACCAAAAAGTTTCCGCCACTGCAAGTGCGACCAAGCGGCGGACGCCGTGTTAATCTGTCTTCTGGATAGATGAATAGCTGCGGAAACACGAAAAACAGAGATTTTACGTTCACTCCTCCAGTTCAACCACCAGACTCCAGCCCCACTTCGCGGTGCTTTAAGGGCCAATCCGTGCTTTTCACCAGTCAAAAAATTGCACTCGTGAAATATGCGCTCAGACTGCCCTCTAAATGTACGAACTGATGTCATGGAGCATTCAAGGATACTTTTTCGGAAGAGTCGTCATGATCGTCCACCCGTTGACCATAACTTAGTAATAACTGCTAGACCAGTGCTGCGCGGCCTACGGAGACTGCAACGCCTGGGGTCGAGGCTTGCGTTTGTAAGATTTCCGAGTGCGCAGACTCAAAATTACGTCACATAACTTGTATTACTAGTCAATTAAAGTGTTTAAAGATAATGAATTCAGAAGCGTCATCATTTTCGTCCACCGATGGGCCACAGCTAAAAGTTAGCCACTGGGCTAGCGCTCAACGGACTATGAAGACTGCAACGCCTGGTGCCGAGGTTTTTGTTTCTAAGATTTGCGAGCGCGCATGTTAAAAACACGTGACATAAATTGTACCACTGATCGATTTTGGCTGAATGGTGAACATTTTTAGACGAACATGGCTTGGCCATGTTAATATACATTGTTGACCACTCGATCTGCAATCAAATTTTCATTTTCAACTTTGGATCAAACATATCGATCTACAATCTACTTTCGCGATGTCCTCAATGTCTCCAAAACCCAGACAAAAATTCTGACAAAGCTTTTGCCTTCTATCGGTTTAGAAAGAGTCAACTAACCATTGTAAATTAAGAGCGCCGGTTATTTATTCCATGCAGTCGTTCACCGCCTGATTTCTGCAGTTTATTGACCTCAAAATGCAAACAGAATTGAGCTCACGGAGCTCCTGATTTCTGTTCTGGTTGCAAGGTAAAAACAACAATACAACGAAGAAAAGCGTGCCATTTGTAAACAAGTAACCCATATTTGGGGATTTGGGGGGGGAAGCACGATAAGATGGGCTTTCGTCAACCTTGTGCTCCCCCTCGGCAAGGCCCTGGCTACGCCCCTGCCTACACGCAAAAGCAGATCAAGTCGTATACGTTCCATGATGGGCAATGTAGTGTCCGTTGGGTCAATTCATACCTAATGGAAACGGTTTCCCTGAGGCTATTTTTCTGCGATGGTGTGATGTCAGGGAGGATAATTCGGAAAAAGGTGCTGTTGCAGGTGTCCAGCACATGTTTCATACACCATGTAGTAGTAAAGCTGATCCAAAAGTATGCAACAAAGCATGCGAGAGACATCCGGGCCAGGGCAGTGGCCACCGACGGCGGACGTGAGCAGGGCCCAGATAAGGTACATATGACAGATGGGCCTTATCATGTGGCTTGGTTCTCAAAGAGAATCCTCATTGCTACGGCTTTTGTAACATTGTTTCTAGCAGTTTCAAGCGCCCGAATTTGTTTCCGCCTAAAATTCTGCTACAAGTCTTATCTCTCGAAAAGCAGCCAGCGAAGTGAAGGCGCTTGACAAATCTGTCGCACTGTGAGCCATCGATCCACTTTCAAAATTCTCATCAGCCTATATTTTGGCCGTACTATTATATACGTATATAATATATATATATATATATATATATATATATATATATATATATATATATATATATATATATATACGTATATAACGGCCGTATTTTGGCGTCCACACTGTGGAGGCAGACGCTTCGTCGATGACCCAAAATGCCTACCCTCTCGTGGAATTTTGCCTCCTCAGGAAAGATAATATTAAAGTGAACGAATAATCTTGGGAGGCTGGATAGCCTTATCTGCCAAATGACAGACGGGTCGAATAGGCAAGACTGTGCACCAGCGAGAAACATCTCTACATGCATATCTAGCATAGCAGCCATGACATTTGCATATAGAGCGGTAACAATCTCCATCCCTACCCCCCCCCCCCCCCCCGGTCATCGGGCTCGCTTTCCAGAAAAAGTTGCTGAGTTACACCCTGAGCTTGGCCCCCACCCCACTTTTTGGAACGTTCCTACGCCTATGGGTGAGATGCTATCCCAACCAGTGTCTTGTCGCTCAGCAGTGCTCCACTACTCCGCACGAGATGGTGGAGTGTATTACCTTGAGGATTTGTGGACACGTCGGGTTGCCTCGGCTGTTGATGCTTCCATCAGGAAAAACGGGCGTCGTGTATTTTTTGCACCAAGGCAGTAGCTTCCTAACATTGTCATTCGACGAACTCGCCATTTTCTATGCTTGCATTTGATCACGCCACGAACTAAAACGACAGTAATTCCAGTTGCACAACTCATTTATAACTGTCTGTGTCATAACTGTACTCGAGAGGCCAGGACAGACCTCTGGGTTCCTCTCGCTTGAAACAGCGCCATGCTACTAACTTTACACGCATGGTCATCAGCGCCTACAGCAAGCTCGGACGAAACTCTCGGGTGGCGAGATTCGCGGGCAGGCCGACGCCCGGGGCAGCACCGGCGGCGCCCCGCTGGCTCGGCTCGAGCACATTCAGACTGTCGCTGCTATCGTCGGCGAACCGCACCTGGGCCTGTAGCAGGCCGAACGCGCTCAGGCTGACGGTGCGCGAGTGGCTGGGTGTGCGGCCGGCGGCGTCCAGCGGCCGCAGGCTCGCCGCGCCGTTCGGCGGCTGCAGGCAGCCCGCGCGTCCGGCGCCGGCCGGCGGCACCACCGCCTCCAGGCTGGTGGCGGCCGGCGCGCGGCACAGGCCGTCCAGGCTACGGGCGATCCGGTAGGGCACGCTGCGGCGGCGCGCGGGCGAGCCTCGCGGCGAGCTCGGCCGGCAAGGCGAGGCGGCCGGCTCGGTGCCGAAGCGCTCGGCCTCGTCCAGCGAGTCGGGCAGGCGACGGCCGGCCGTTTCCGGCAGCAGCAGCACGGCCGCGCCGCCAGCCGCCGCCAGCGCCGCGTACAGCAGCTGCGGCAGGCCGCGCATCTGCCGGTGCAGGTGCAGGATGTACGGGCTGAAGAAGGCGACCGCGTGGCCGGCCACGTGGATCAGACCGCAGCCCTGCGAACGCACCTGGGTCGGCGTCAGCTCGATGCCCACCTGCCAGCAGATGTTGGCCGCCACCGTCGCGAAAAGTCGGTTCAGCATGGCGAACGTGGTGGAGACGGTGGGCAGGGTGCGCGCGTGCAGGGTGAGACCCAGCATGAGGGAGCTGAGCGCGGCCATGAGCAGGGCGCCGCTGAACGTGGCCCGCCTGCCCACGGCCTCGGCCAGGAACAGCACGATCAAGTCGGCCGGCAGCTCCATCAGGCTGAGCACGCTGGCCGCCACGCGCATGTCGATGTCGAAGTTGGTATTGCGCACGCTGCTGTCGAAGCTGAGCATCATGGCCATGGTGGTGAACATGAGCACCAGGGTGCGGCCGCGCAGCGCCGGCCGCCGGAACAGTTCGGCCACGGAGGCCGACTGCCGCTGCTGCGCCGCGCGCCGCCGCGCCCGCTCCTCGAACGCCGCAAACACGGCGTCGGGCACGAACCGGCCGTTCTCAGCGGCCAGCCGGCGCAGCTGGCTTACGGCGGCGCCGGTGCGGCCAGCGCGCGCCAGCCAGCGCGCCGACTCGGGCACCGTGTAGGCGTACAGCGCGGCGCCGGCCATCGGCGCGCCAGTGACGAGCGCCAGTGTGCGCCAGTGCGCCAGGCCGGAGGCCAGCCACGGCAGGCAGACGGCCGCCAGCATGAAGGAGGTGGCCATCGGCACGTTGATGACGAGCGTGCGGTAGCGGGCGCCGACCGACTCGCTGAGCAGCACCAGCGCCAGCACGCACTGCTGGTCGTACGTGGCGCCGGCCAGCAGGCGGCCCAGCGCGAAGCTGGCCGGCCCGCTGGCGGCGGCCGTCAGCAGACCGGCGCAGCAGCCCAGCAGGTTTGCCGAGACCAGCGCCGGCAGCCGGCCGAACCTGCCGGCATGCACCGTCCGTCAGAGCAGCGACCGGGTCAGGGGCAGCGGCGGGCGCGACGGGCTCCCATCTCTGGCTGTCCGGACAGCTGCCCCGGCGCTGTCTGGTCAGAGGCGACAGCGCACCACCCGACACGCGCTAGCTGACCACCTACCCGACAGCTGCAGGGCAGCCGCCACGGCCTACCTGTCGGCGAGGTAGCCGAAGACCATGGTGCCGATCACGGCGCCGACGAAGAACATGGACGACACGAAGGGCTTCAGCCAGGCGTTCTCGCACACCCAGCCGAACTGAAAAAGGCGCGCGAAGCAGTGTCGGGGTACGGGAGCAGATGCCACGCGCGCCAAGAAGTGAGCGATGAAAGGTGGTGTCAAAAATGCGACCACCGGCTGGAAGATGTGCTCGATTTAAAGGCAGACGTGATGACGCTCGGTCGGCCTACCATGCATACACGAGATGTGCCCGTTGCGTGCGAAGATAATACAATGCCTGACTCGTGACCGTGGGAGCGTGCATTGTTGCATTGCAATACATTACATGAGTACGTGAGTTCGAAGCTCGGACAAGCCAGAGGCTGTCGAAAGTGCGGTGCGAATGAGTATGCATAACTACACGACCAATAGGCTCAGGTCCTTTCCAGGATCAACTAATATTGGATAACTCAGCTTGCGCAACGGTCAAAATAATAATGGTAAACAATAAAATAAAAAATAAAGAGAGTGCGCAGAAATCACCGTTGGAAATATTGTGTGGGGAACAACACGTCAATGAGATCCATGACTCGCACAAACACTTAATCCGTTTCGGGATGGCAGAAATACTACGCTGCAGTGATATTCAACGACGTTGGACACAACCCGGGGCGCAGCAAGGGAAAAGAGGAGTGGTCTTCCTTAGGTCTGCATTTGTATTTTCCATCATGGATAGCTCCCGACATGACGTGAAAAATTTGCGTGATGCGTACTCTACAAGATCAGCGCTAAGAATTCTGGCTGCACCCTGGATGCGATCACCAAGTGACACCACCCTACCAGAAGTGTCAGGCTGTCAGCTGTCAGGCTGTCAGCCCCAGACACGCGACGCAGCTCCGCAGCATTCAACCGAGGCCCGCCGCGTCGCAACTCTCCACACCGCCGACACAGGCCGACGGCACCGGGCACCCACGCACCTCGGACACGGCGGTGGGGTAGAGGGTGCCGAAGTCGAAGTGCCAGCCGTGTCGGCAGGACGTCGTGGGCGTGCCGGGGCCCAGGCCGCTCCAGTTGCCGCTGCTCACCAGCAGGGTGTAGTTGACGTCGTAGGTGCGGCACTGGTCGTAGCCGCCGTGCTCGTCGGGCGGCACCGACAGGCGGCGCGCCTGTCGCGGGCCGAAGCCGAGCGCGTCGAGCTCCGGGGAGCGGCACCAGTGCGCCGGCTCCAGCAGCAGCCACGTCTGGCCGAAGTAGACGAAGCAGAGGAACACAAACACGGGCTGCAGCAGGAGGAACGTGCACCGCTGCCGGCGGCCGCAGTCGCCCACCGCGCCCAGCAGCAGGTCGAACTCGTTGTCGAGCCCGGCGTCGTTCAGACTGAAGCGGCTGAGAGCCAACTGCGACTGCACGGCCGCGATGGTGGCCGGCGACGGCGAGGGGGCCGAGCGGGTGGCCGACGGCGGGCTGCCGGCGAGGCGGCGCTCCGCGGTCAGCCGCGCCGCAGCCGCCGGCGCGGCCGACCTCTGAGCCGCGGTCATGGCCCGGGCGGGAGCGCCGGGGCCGCGCCGAGCTCAACGGCAGGCCTGCGCCCGCAGGTCAGGAGTCGGAGGTCTGTCGCGGAGGTCTGGAGCTCACCGTGGCTGGCCACTCGCATCTGTCGGAGGGGGTGAAGGTCGGGCTGGGCAGGCGGACCTCCATGTGCAAGCCCCAGGAGACGGAGAGATCTGTGGTGGGGTGACACACACAGTATGGAATACGCGTTACTTAGTCAACGTTCTTTACATGAACGATCCAGTGAATTGGGAAGAAGCAATGCTATGTGGCAAAGCAAATCCGACACGTGCAGTTCTCAAGTGTTGAGAGTCTGGACTGATCCAAAGCAAGGAGGTTACTTGCTCAGTGCTCCGACGTCCTCACCAGCCCGGGACAGCAGACCCACGATGCGTTTTAAGCTCATGCCCTAACCGTAACCCTTGAGCGCAGCCCCATTACCCGAGGCGAGGCGGCGTCGAACCAGGTCCTGACCTGACTTTTCAGCATGCCAGGAAAGCACATCGAATGCTAATCCCCCTTCGTTCAAGATCCTTTGAATATCTTGCAGCTTTTGGGCGCTGCACGACGGCCCTAACGCGACAAAAGGCTGAAAAACACTGCCACGACGCATCGGCACGCTGGCAACAGATAATCCCCGCCCGGGAAGGCACCGCGCCGGGGCGACTTACAAAGCGGCTGTGGGCCTTGCCTGCCTGTCTGGCACTCCTTGCGAGGTGATAAGAGGCCATCTGTGTCTCCTGTTTCACAAGAGACGCTACCAAGAGTGCCTCAACGCCGGCCCAGTCAGAGCCTGATCACACACGGAGTGGGGTGCTGGCACCGACGATTACTCATGGGCCGTCCTGCTCATGTCGAGGACGGACCGAACACGGGTAGCCACACATTTTCCTCACAGCTTATTTTTGATGCATTTGTTGCGATTTCAGGGTACCGCAAACCGGGTACAGGCCAATGGGCTCACTTCTTGCTCAGCAATTTTTGACACAACTATTTTCCATGAAGCAGAATCGCTTTTTGTTACTCGTTCTCAGTGCAGATCTGCATTCCCCGGAAACAAATCCGGCTTCCCATAAACTCCATAAATATCTGGATGTCACGGTGAAAACATGGACTTATGATTCGGTAGACCGAACGGCCAGTACAAACCCGCTAACAAATATTTTCTCGGCGTAGCATCACACGTTGCGCAGGAGCAACTGCTGGTAATTGGGCTTCCACGAAGAAGGCATGTCAACTACCCTGCAATGCGACGACCTGCTCCAAGCTGTCTTTTACCGAGCGTGGCAAACTGCAGCGCAGGATATGCCGCTTGCGAAACGCATGGAGCAACTATACGTGGGAGCCACTCGGAGCGATAGGGCCGACTGTGCCTAGGCGCACCTAGTCAGCAAATGCTCACCGTCATCATCGCTTGCCTTAAAGACGATGCCTCCCCTTCTGCCTGTGTGTGTGTGCCACTGTTCACCTTCTCCATGAAGCCGGTCCATCTTCCGGCACAGCCAGCGTAATATCCGTCTCCGTGGTCGCAGTGGATAATGATCTCTTTGCGGGCTGTCCAAAGCGAGGCTGATCCTTGCCCCTCTCAGAATGACCTTCTCGTCCTAGCCCGGCATTAGACCACAGCGCCAAAACAGCGCTGATCAATTATCACTATCGAACTATCAAATATCATTCATGTGCGATGAATGGGCTTGAAATGCCTTTGCTAACCATGACTGTCTTGAGCAAATGTTTTGACCTACAGCTCCATGTTTTTCATCAAAATGCGTCTGCATTATGTTGGCTCCGAATACTTCAGTCTTACCTCGGTAGCCACACACAGCCAGTCGCAGTCAGCGCCCCCACTCCCCTCCCCGACACCGGGCGCAGACTACAACCCCCGTCGCAGCAGAGCGATGTCGGGCTCGGCGGGGGCTCCACCTCAGCATGCAGCCGAAAATGTGACACCAGCGTTGTCATCACTGCGGGGCGCGACACGTACTCTAGTCTGCCGATGGTTTGCTTGGTCCATTCATTGATGGTGAAGGCAGCCAAAACGAAAATGACGGTCTTTGGCGCCCAGCAAAACCTGAAAGGGGTTCCCTCAATTGGCATCATCTTTCGGGGAGATCAAGTCAGAGCCTGTCGTACCATACCTCGACATTGCTTTTGACCCGTTTTTGTCGTGAGATGTTCACATTGCTAATAGCAACCGGAAATACTTTGGACTTCCTTTCGACCACACATCACTTCGGCACCAGTTTCACCAGAACAGCCCATCAACCACAACATACTGAACGGGCATCTCTCATGCGCATCATTGTCTTTGTGTCTTTGGTAACTACTCCAGCAAAACTTGCAAGGGATCTTAAAGGTAATGAACTTCTCAGGGAGAGTAGCGCCAGCCAGACGACAAATTGACCACGCAATCGACGTGCCGAGGGGGCCAGGCTGGCTCATTTTCAAGCATCTAGCGGCCCCGCATTCCCGCAGTGCGCTAGAGAGTCGGAGAGCCTCCTCCACTTACGCGATTCTCGGAAAACAATGTTCACTTTCAATGAAGACGCCCACGGCGGGATAAGCTGCCGCCCATAGCGAGAATTTGCTTCTCTTGGCCCATATCTCTTCAGCAGAATGTCAACAGAAATGCCCGGACCAAAATCGAGGCACTCAAAGGGAAACTGAGAACGTTCCGGAAACGTAGCGATTTGACCTGCCACGCATTGGTGCCCGTTGATATGGATTTTTACATGGTGTACTTTGATCCATTGAGTATGCGGTTGAGTAGTCACATGCTCAATGTGTACACGGCCGTTGGTAGCAGCATACGAATTGCCGCTTGATTTTATATTTCTTTAATGTTGTGTCCCACGTTGCTCGAGTGCGTGGCGTTGGACTGAGAACAGCCACTCGTACGTGAAGAGCCTTAAGGGGTGCAATGCACGAGACAGAAATGAGCGGTGCTAGTCGACATGCCCGTGGTGGAGTAAGGTGTCACACATAGTGAACTAGTTGACGCATATTATTTGAAACATGCTGATTTCTTCGTCGTGAATGGATTCTTCCAACTAAAACCAAGTGAAAGCAGAGGTGTCAAATGATCTTTTCGAGAAAAGAGAACGATACATTTGGTGTCCAGTGGCAGGATTTGTTGAAACATATCACAGTCCATTGCTTGGTACAGGACGCACAGAACGTCAGACGTAACAAGGAAGTTCAAAATCCGTCACGAGCGCGCCGCAATGGCGATGTTTGGACCACATGATCAATTCAAGTACATCGCCACGATCACTGTCCATCACGAAACCAGCAAACAAGGATCTTTCGTCCCACCCGATCAGGCATTCAGGTGTCTATAGTAGCAAGAATGGGACTAACCAGTGGGAGCGGAATGGAGCTTAACAATGCCTGAATCATTACTGGAATGATTATCCGCGTCTCTTTGTCCTCACTTCCCATGCACCAGAACAGGCCTAAAAGGGCAGTCCAACCGGAACAAGCGCTTTTGGCAGGAATAGGCTTTGCGTTTTTCTGGCGATTTCAGGCTGGCATGTACGTTTTGTTGCGGCCATGCCATGTGCCAACAAGTGACCTTATTTGGGTAGGTATGCTCGGGTTGGAAGAACCCTCCTTAAACGGTTGAATCTACACAAAAGTCGAGGCGAAGACCTCTCCCAAAGAGGTGATTCAAACATCACAGGATACCATGCCACGCACCTTCCCGATAGTGACGCTGGACAGTGGTTTTCTACGGTGCACACAGTCGCTGAGACTACATGGCGTCGCCTGTCAACCACCCTGACAAAAACGGCAGGCACCGCGGGGATCGATCCCGTACCTCCAGCGTTCCAGGCAAGCAGCCTAACCACTGCACTATCGGACCCACGGAATTACTGGAACCGCTTTTTGGATCACATTCGCCATGATAAGAGACGCAAAACTACAACGTACCGATTAAACGATGTTATGGGGTAAATGTCGGTCACATTGACAGTACTCACGTTTCATGCCGGGCTTATGATCACGACACACCTACTTTGCAAACCTACTTACTAGACTCTAGTTTGATTCTAAACGTAGTCTAAACGCAGCCCATTCTTTTCTTTCGTCACGCGTTCGACGCCGATGCAGCTGAAGTGACAAATATCTCTACCGCGTGTACTCCACTGAAAAATAAGGCCAATCATAGCCCATTCAGCGCGTAGTCCGATTTCATCTATCCCGGCGTTGCGTTCACGACTGGTATGTCACCGACCGCACACCTCGTGCCGCACTTACCCGAGGCCGGCCCGCGGTGCGGCCGGCCAGCGGCCGCGGCGCCGGCGCCGGCGGCGAGGCGCGAGCGTCGCTCACGACGGCCAGCCGCCCGCGCGCCGCCGAGCCAGGCTGTCGGCCCTCACGGCGTCCCATGACACACTGCCGGCGGCGGGCGGGCCGGCGCTCGCCTGACGTCGCTAACGATTTCCCGTCGAGGGAGGGATGCCGCCTGACCGGCCAGCCGTCAGGGCGGGCGGCGACCGTCCCCGGAGCCCGGCCCAGTGACCGCCCTGCCCCCGGGACCCGCCGCGAGCCGCGCCCGCTTTGGACGCCCGCCGGCGCTGATCTTGTTTGCCGGCGGCGCGCGGAGCGGGCCTCCCCGGGCGCGCGGGACCTCCCGGGCGCGCGGAGGCTCTCCCGTCTCCGGCGGACACATACGACGCCCGCGGACCGCGGCAGGCTCCGGCCGTGGGTTACGATCGCCTTTCCGTCCCTGCTGGGATGCATTCTAGTGCAGTCCGCGACGCAGGCCGGCTGCAGCAGTCGCTGGCGATTGCGCTTCAAAAGGTGTGAAACAATTGATGTGGGTTTTCATACTTTTGCCAACACGATGACTACATCTGACTTGTAATGTGAGGCATGGCGCGCTGCACGGATAGATTAAACCCACACCTTGTGTTCCCCTCTGGAATAATCGACAGAAAGTTATGAGTCGTCACGCACGTGACGGGATGTGCGTGACGGCTCGCATTCCATGACCACCCGCCGGCAGGCGAGAGGTCCGTGACGACCTGCTATTCTGAGGGATGGGCGTCACATGCAATAGGCAATACGGAATGGAGACGCGCCGCTCCGCCGTTGTCAAGGGTCAAGGTGAAGGCAGGGCTAATGCTGCCGGCATTACGTGTTTTGTCACCAGGGGCGCAGCCGGGAGCTCATTGATGGGCGGAGGGGAAGGGGGAGGAGGTGGAAGAAAAGCATCACGTCGATTTTTAAATTTGTTTCAGGAGCCATCGGTCGTAAAAAGGGTACAATGCAGCGGTTTTCTGGGGGGGGGGGGGGGGGGTCACCCTCCTACTCGCCACTAATGCGCTTGGTAAAGAATGCCGTTGGCGATTGCACCGGAATCAGTGCGTGTCGTCGCACTTGTTATTTAAAGCCAGCCGACACGTTTCCTGAGCCGGATTTTTGCACCAAGCCTATTGAAATAAAAACGCTGCTCAATGGGTGGAAACAGCGAGGAGGGCAATTCAGCGCAAGTGCGGTTAGTCGCTCTTGCGTGAGCTGTGTTACTCGTGCCTGGCCATGCCACTCACTTATTTAAACCGTTTAGTGTCACGTTTCTGAAGCCGGAGGACATTTTCTCGATCTTCCACTTCACCCATCTTCAAAACAGGAGAGGCTTCCTGAATGCTGGCAACGGAGCATCTAAGGACGTTTGTGTGCGTGGGTCCATATGTAAAAAGGATGCAGTTACACTCCTTGTAAAAATGCCGATGGCGCGTGGGCCTAGCCCAGATATTCCTACGGGGCGCGGACAGGGCTGTTGGCTATACATCTCGCCGATATTTTTACTTTTCTGTCGGGAGCCACCTGTGATGAAATACGGAAAAAAACGGGATTTAGGGGGAACGCCTCCCCTACGTCCCCCTTGGCCGCGCCCCTGCCAAGACTGGCCTATGGAGAAGGTATGCTGAAACCTAGTCAGCAAGAGGACGGCTTTTTGTCCATTCGGACTGCACGGTGGCATCATTGTCAAGGCAACATTTGACATGTTTAGGGCTAGAGCGATCTGCCCTCGTGAACGTGCCCCAAAGGCCACCTTGTTTGCTTACTTTTGGATTACTGTCGCGAGCAGTTTAGTAGGCATCGCACTTTTGTAGGCGACATATCCAGATAGTCGATAGAGATATAGATGGTTGATGGTAGTTGCACGTCTGGAGCTCCTTTGGCTCTAGCTCTTGATCTGTCAGACAAAACATATACTGAACCAATCGAAAGACTGGCCAGTTTATTCTTAATGCAATTGTGCACGCCAAGCCCGGCACTGCCAACAATGTGCACACCAAGCCCGGCACCACCTGGCACCGGCAAGCCAGGTTCCATGTCTCGCCATAATATGCTTATTTTTATCGCCACGACCGCTAATTGCTTAGTGATCACCGCCCT